TCCTCTCTTAATCTTGCTGCAGTTTTTTGGGACTGGCTGAGTCTTGAAAGATAGCAGCATTCACAGAACTCGCATAGCTTAACAGAGTCACTGTTCAGTGTTTTGGAAATGTATCTTTTGACTGTTGGGAAGGAAGGAAATTGGCTACTTAAGATGCCTTTTTGTACATTTAAATTAACTTAGTCCATCAGACTGAATAAATCCTGATGCTGTATTAACATCCAATTATAACAGAAGAGATTGAGCAATGATTTATGTTTTGACCAGAATGTTGGCAGTTTAAGGGGAAAAAAAAAAAAGAAAAAAAAAAAAAAGAAAAAAGTAATGTATGTTGAAATAAAGAAGTCAAAAATGGGAGCCAGAAAATTATGACTGAGCACATAGCAGGAGCTTTTATGAATATATAATGGCAGAAGTGAGAGCCAAATTTCTAACAGGATTAACTGTTACTGTCTATCAGATCCAAAATCTCAATCACTTTGTTTTAAATGACTTTCTGAAACTCATTCATACTAGAAGTAGAGGGTAAAAGTAAGGCTGGGAGCTACAGAAGCTAGATCAGAGGTGAGGATGGCCCTGGTGTTGTGCAAAAAGCACATAAGTCATATATAGCAGGTGAGCTCTAAACACTATACAGTCTGCAGGTTTACCAGATTTTTTGAGATGTCCTTGGGAGCCAGAAACACATGAATGATTTCTTTGGGGGCTTCTGAATGGATATGTTGGCAAAGAGAAGTATTTCTTCCAATCCTGCTGCAGCTGCTGCAGCTGGATGTGCTCACTGTTTTCTTACTACTCTTGAGAAGGACGTCACATCCATTTGTCTGACCCAGGCACTGGGATTGCATCTAGTTCTGTGAGTAGTGGGGAGGCTAGATGGTCTCCAGTGTGCTATGGACAAGGGCTTGGAAGCACAGCAGCTCCTAGATGTCCAACAGCTGTGTGAACAGGGATCTTTAGGAGATTTAACTTAATCTCTTCAACATTTCAAAGCAACTAATATCTAAGTAGCTTTTACTTAATAACTTGTTATTCAATAATCAACTTATTCATGGACTTCTTGCATGACCTTGCCCAGATGCCTTAGGCTTACATCTTCAAAGCTTCCTTCGGTTGCATGAGACCTTTTTTGCAGCTGTGGCTCTCATGGATAAAATGGGAATATGTGCCACATCACTATGGGCTGTAAGCCCTTAGAACAACAGCAGTCTCTTTCCACATCCAAATTTTGCTCGAGCGAAGTGAGGCCAAAATATCAGTTAAGCTGTGACCACTGCAGGAATACAAATGTCTCCAAGCTGGCTCTTAGAGCTCCAAAATGAAGGACACTTTGCTTTTGTTAATCCTCTGTCTGCTGAGACCCTGATAATATTTGCTGCAGAACGTTGAATCAAAGTTTCACTGATGAAAGATCAGATGTGTGGAACCCCAGTGAGGGTGGGAAACAAGCTTGAAATGCTTGTTAGACATTCCAAGTATGAAAAATGGGGGAAGGAGCAATCACGCTATGGTTTGCAGTCGAGATTTCAACATTCAGTGTTGTCCAGTCCCTTCATCCTTACAAAAAATGGCAAGGCAACCATAATTGAGAGGTTGCATGGACTTTCTTTTTCCAGATATCTTAGGGGAAGCATAAAAAGCTGACTGCTCCCAAGGGGCATGGTCAGTTCTCAAAACTTTCAACTTGAAAAGCCGAGCTGAATTAATTACAGTTTATGTTCCAAAGGAAAATGAGACCTCTGATGTGCCTTATTTGCTTGATGTTCTTTCTCCTTTCAGCTGATGACCCCTAGGCGGCTTCCTTTTCACTTGAAGCTTCTTTGTTTTTTAGAGTCTCTTCCTTTATTAATTAGAAGGTGTGACACAGCCCAAGACATTTACCAGCATGGTACAATTTTAATTAGTCTCACCATAAAGCTACTTGAGGTGAACTCATAAAAGCTCTTATATAGCAAAAATAACATGCAGCAATGCAAATGGTGACTCAAGACACCCACTACTTTGGCTTCCCAAGACATGGGGTAAGGATGGGGCTTGCTGTAAGCTCACACTGCATAGCTGTGCTCTTTGGGACAGAGACACAGGCAATGTGCATTCCTGCACACACAAGACACTAACTGTATCCTATGGAAAATTAAGTACACAGACAAAGAAGTTTGTCTTCAATGAAGATCTGTGTTCCCAGTAGGTGCTTTCTGCCTCTGAGAGGAGCTTGGTTTTGCTTTGATAGCTAATTAAATAATAATAACAATAAAACCTACAGAGACAGCTTTCTATCCACTCTTTTTGTAGCACTTTGCAAATAAATTGTAGATTTCTGTCCTCTAGGACTTCATTCTTGTTCATATTTCACAGTCGCAAGTGGATTTTGACTCACAGCTTTCAAATCCAACATAACTACATTCTAGCAAAGTGCAGGTTTGAACTTTTTAACTGAAACTCGCTTCTGTAAGGCAGATGTAAACTAGCTCAGAAGCTGAGGTCCGAAAAAATTATCTACAGCTAATGAGGATAAATTGTGCTGCACCATATGTTAGCCAAGGATAGTTTGGATAACCATTACCAACTGTATTCTTTCTAATTACAAGGTGGAGATTACACAATCAATTACATGTGGATTAAGGAAGGGCAGATTTGCAGTCTTTCAAGCTGAACTATCTGCCTCTTCTTCAAGTACTTTGATGTTCACAGTGTAGATGTTTCAAGCTAGATATAACTTAGTAAAAATAAGTACATTTTTCCCAGGTGGAGCTAACAGGTGGTGAAAATCAACATATAAATAATAAGATCTCCACCCTTGCTACCTTCTTATTGAAGTTGTATGACTTTTTGAAAGTTGATGTAAGATAAGATACATTTTTGAGGTAAATGTGAGTCTAATAGGATGAAATCTTCAAGCGTATAGAAATTTGTATTTGATGAACTGACAATTCCTTCTTGACCTAAAGTCCGCACCTAAAGTAATGTGGAACTGTTGCATCCAAGCCCAAGTCACCTTGCCTTTGAAGCTTCTTGAAGTTAGAATGACTTGATAAGCTGTTCTGATTTTCTCATTTTCGTTTTGCTCTATGATCTGTTCTGATTAGGATCTGATGTGCGTGGCAGTGGATTGAAAGGCATTTTTGTGGGTTTTACTTGACATTCACCCGTTGTCCTTAAAAGCTTTCAGCAGCCACCGTTGATTTCCTTGGGTGACTTGATACAGGCAGTAGTGCAACGGTAAATAGACTCTATCATATTTCTATCTAAAGTTCACTAAAGCTATTGCCAACAGCCAAAGGTAAAATACAAATTTTCACCTTTTCACAGAGGCTACATGAGGTCTGGGTAGGGGTTAGGAAGCCCATTTCTGATAAAAATGGAAAAGATCTCCATAAATATCTGGAATTTTGTTCAGAATCTCTTTTTCTTCTTTTTCCTTACCTTCCTCCTCTATATACAGAGCTTTGTGTTGTTCCATTTACAGATGCAATCAGAATGAATCTTCAGTTCAAATTCCCTTGAATGTTGCACCAAGTAAAAAATTGTCACTAGGATCTAGGTGTATTCCCTTGTCATCTGTCATGAGTAACTGTTCTGCAGTTTACATTTGACAGTTCTCAGTGGTGTTTCGTCAGTATAATATCAACCTGTATCATCTGAAGGAATAAACTCTCCCTGATGACATGAGCCAGGGTGAAGGCACTGGCAATTGACTGTGTATTATGGAAGCTCTCTGAAGCTTACTCAATGGAAAAAAGACTATCAGGTCACTGGGCCCAAATTGTATGTTTGGTTTCAAAAGAAGTAAGGGGCTTAGGAAACCTAATAGAATCAAACCCTGTGGTCCGTTAAACAGGAGGTCAGCTAGACGGTCCTTTCTGTCTTTGAAATCTCTGCCTGAAATACTTTAATTAAGAAGGAAGGAAGGATGAAAGAATATAGTAAAATGCCTTATTTTGGCAGTGTGTGGGTGTTTTAGGTCAAACTGATATCTTCTGAGCTGCAAAGTCAGGGTAATGGCAAGCTCTGTCACTACCCAGGCTGGTAGCCCCTGGTAGCTGGGAGAAACCTCTCTGGGATGGGGCAACCTTGGGTATGTGTCCAGACTGAAAAGCAGCCCTGAGGAAAGGGGTGTGAGGATTCTGTACAATGTGTGCCAGCAGTGTGTCCAGGCAGCCAAAAGGGCCAACAGTACCCCAGGGTGCATCAGGGGTTTGACTCAGTGATCCTTATGTGCCCCTTCCAACTCAGGATATTCTATGACTGATTACAACTGACTGTTGGGGTGTGAACCTAGCACTCTCCTGGGAGCAGTGGAGATGCATGAGGCCATAGGAAAGAGACAAAGACATCATGAGATCTCAGATTTCATAAGGAGAAAGAAAGAGTTGTGATTTGTAACCACAGTACAGGAGAGCATGGAGGTCTAGTTTCACTATCACAGAAGTTAACACGTTTAATTTCCCTGAGGTGCCTTGTCACCACAGTTTGCACCCAGGCCTGCCTGATTTGCTGAATCCCCATGAAAATGTGCATGTAAGTGAGAGACCACATAAAGAGGTCTGGATATCAGGAAAAACTTCTCCAAAGGAGTAGTCAGGCACTGAAGCAGGCTTCCCAATGAGGTGGTTGAGTCACCATCCCTGGAGATGTTCAGGAAATGTGGAGATGTGCTGAGGAACTTGGTTTAGTGGGCAATATTGGTGGTAGGTGGATGGTTGGATTAGGTGATCTTAGCGGTCTTTTCCAACATTAGTGACTGTATGATTCTATGATTCTGAGTGATCATGATCACAGAGGAGATGCTGATCTGAACAGGATTTTCACCATGTTGAACTTTAGAGTAATCTGCAGCCATATCTGCATCTGTCTTAGCCCTGCTAAGCTCAGCAGAGATGTCCTTTCAGATGATGAGCACCAGGGAAAAAGGAGAGGAAGGGTGGCACCTCTGCCAAGTCATTAAGGCCATTGCAGTGCCCTATGAAAATCCTGATAATTTGTCCCCTTTCCTCCTGCAGCTCACCCGGGTGCCCGTGGAGTCCTGCAGTCAATACGAGACCTGCAGCGAGTGCTTGGGCTCAGGAGACCCTCACTGTGGGTGGTGTGTGCTTCACAACACGTAAGTACCTGCTGGTGTTTGTCACCATCCCAGCCCTCCTTCGTGCCCAGCCAATCTCCCTCTCCAACCATGGTAGCAGCAGTAAAGATCTGTTTTGGTCCCTAGCTTAGCCAGATGAACTTAGATGTCACCCTGGCAACTCCAGTTGGGATTCTGGGATTTGAAGGGGGAGTCTTTGCTTAATCAAGAAACATTTTTTAGCTGAAAATGGAATAGAAAGGTCAGTAGAGACCCATCAGATCTCCTCAATTTCCTCATTCATAGTGTGCTGGCTGCACAGGAAAATACCCATCCACTCTGATGTGTGTTGAATCAAGCCCTCCAACTGCTTCTCTCTGTGTGACAAATACTTTCTTGTTTCCATATGATGGCAGTTAGGCCCTAGCTAACAGCCAGACTGGAACTTATCTCAGCACCTGCAAATTTCCACTATGGGGCTGAACCTCTTTCACATTCGTCATAATCTCCAGTGCTTTTAGATGGGAATCAGTTCTCTCAGAACACCCAAGGATCTGATCCAAGTTAGATTTCAAGGGGAGAGTGAAGCTTCCAACATCACTGTGAAATGATGTTAATCCTGAAGTTGAGCATTTCTCTTCTGTAGGTCGTCTCAGAGACCTCCTTTCACTGTTACACTATTCTGCAGTGCTGCCCTCTGCAGTGCCTCCCAAAGAGCAATGTATCCAAGCGTCCTCAGGATGGGGAGATTAACTAATTGGCTTTGTTTTCTGTAGACCTTCTTAATGATGTTATTGATCTTGAAGTTCCCTCTCTGCAGCCTTCAGTGCCAGTGATCTCCTCTTGCAGAGAGCCCTCTGCCAAAGCCATGCAAAAGGAGGTGTCAGGTTGGCTGAGCTCCTGGTTCTGTGTGGCAGAGTGGTCTCATTTGCCAAGAACCTCTCGGCAGAGACAGTGGCTGGAAAGTGCACTGGATCTGCCTAACCAAATGTCTCCAGCTGAGCATTGCTCTGCAGGGTGCTGTCACTCCAAGTCTCAGCATCGTTGGCTGCGATGGATGGTTATTCTGATGAACTCTGTTATTGCAGTGTCTGTTTTTTCCTCTGAGTTTACCTCACAACTTTTCCACTTTCACTGCAAACTCTACCTGTGGAGATAGCGATGCAGTTGGAAAGATCCTTTTCTCTACCTCTCCTTTCTGAAGCAGACAAAAAAGGAACAAACTCTTACTATATCCCAACCTTCTGCAGATGCTCTTTGTCATCTGTGACCCTCCGTCAAAAACAGTGACAGTCTGCTTAATTTAAGATAATTTCTAGGTGGCCCAACTCCAAACTTCTCTCTGGTTTTGGGATAATTTCAAGGGATCCTTGGCAAACTAATCCTGAGCTGTGACCTTATTCTTCATTCTCCATGCCACTGATCTGAGGATATTTTCAATTGATATATAGCTCTATAGTATGTTTCCATTTCATATCTTGCATCCATCCTATGGAGCATTACATGTTGCTAATAGAAGAGCAGTACAGACTGTATGCAAGCATGAATTTGGCCATTGATTGTACTGTAACAATCAATGCTAGATATTTCATCTCTTACCATCCAGGGTCAGTGGCAACAAGCAATCAATACACCCAACAGTAAATTCCCAAAAGGAGAGAAAAGGGGCAGAGACAACTGCAGATTGCCCAGCAATTCATTGTGAAAGAGTGTCAGAAATGTTGTTGCTGGTGATAAGTGAGAATGGCAGCCTTGACTGTACTAGGACGAGAAATCTTCATGCAAACTCAGTCCTTCAAGCAGAAATTTGTTCCCAGAGTCACCCAGATCTGGGTGACAGCAAGGTCCTCAAGTCCTCTTCCATTTGGTCGCTTCTGCTTTTTTATTTATAAAACAGTGGCAAGGTCATTGAGATCCCTGTGGATTTTTCTGAAGCATTTGGAAAGCAAATGTTTCAGCCCCATTCCTATCTTTTCCTTCCCCTTTCTTTCTCTTGCAGATAAGAAATCCTATTTCCAGCTCAAGTATGGCAGGGGTTTTCAGTTCAGTCTTGTGTTCCTTTCTGGGCCTAAGTTTTTTCAGTCCTTCTAGATATCCCTAAGAGCAGAGGAGCCATCTGCATCCCATTCAGCAGTGTTTAGATGTGCAGGACATTCATTGCAACAGTGCCGTAACACTGAGGCCATTAATAGCTCTTATTTTTGCACCTCAAAACCCCTCAAGATTCATTAACAGACTTTTCCTCATATGTGGTGCTTGGTCAGCAAATCCTGAACAAGGATTTCTGGGGAAGTCTGCCTTAATATTTCCCCTCATGTGTGCTGACCCTTCTCTTTTTCCTCCTAAGAGGAATTCCAGGGCTTGGCTGAATCTAGTTCTACTGATGTGGGGACTGCTTTTGGGAACGGCTGAAAGAGGCATATAGGCTGTCCAAGACCTGGGACAGAATGGGACTGGAAATCAGATATCCTGTAGGCAAGGCCATCCATTTCACACTTCTTTCCCCTCCAGTATAAACCATCAGGAGAAACACTGGTGGGCTGGGAAATGACTGAAAACTGTAAGGCGAGCACAACATCTGTCATTTTATTTCTCCCGTATGTGTCACTCATACTTTGGGATTCACACTTTAAGGGCTGATGCAGACTCTTTTCCCCAGACGCCCATTTCCAAACACATAAGAGGTCTGGGGACACCTGAGGACAGGTCTGCACCCAGTATCTCACGGCAGAGCTGGGCTGTCTGTGCAAAGGGCTGCGTGCCAGGGCTCAGGAATTGATTTCCTCAGCTCTGCCGTCCTAACCTTACACTCAGAAACTCGAGTCCACTGTGAGAGAAAGAGACAGACAGACCCACAGACGGCTGCAGGAGAGAGGAGGGGGGCATTGATTGGCTCCTGCCTTGATAATAGGAGAGCTAATATAGAGCAGGTTACCGGAGCTTTTCATCTCAGTATCTTTAGTCTCAATCTTGTCCCCCCTCCTCCCTTTCCCTGTTATAGCTCAGCTCCCCTCCTGGTCTCTGTTCAGGACTCTTTAGGCGGCAATGAATCATTTAGTTGGTGTAAATTGAAAATGTGGCACTCAGTTGCTGCATGGGTCTCCAGGGGAGGGTGAGGGGCCAGGGTGGGAACTGGAGGGAGGGGAGGGCGGTTGAGGAACAAGGCTGAAAAGCTAATAGCTGGCATGGAGTTGTGTGGTGCCTGGTCACAAGGTCACAACAATGTCACCAGCCCGAATAGTAGGCTGCAGAGAGGGACAAGAGCAGGGCAGTCTTCCCTAAGCCTGACATGAAGTGCAGCATCCTCTGGTCTTACTGGGTGTCCAAAGACACCATTCAATATTCAAGCGCTTGTGAGTTTCCATCTGTGTCCAAACCCTCCTCTGACTCCTTCCCCCATCACACAGGGGCTGAGTGGGGAGGCTCTTAGCCCCCAAGATGGGACAAAGCCTTCTGCAGCTGATGGAGCCCTCATTATCCCTTTGTGATCTACCACCAGCACCAGAGCAGACATAAACAAGTGCTATTCCACATGTTCATGGTGACCACACAAGTTTCAGCCCTATGTGAAGTCTCTGTGTCATACTTAACACCCTAGCTGACCCCCAAAATGGATATTTGAGATGAAAAGGCAGCAGCAGTCTTGCAAGGAGAAAGAATGCTTTACAAAGGGGGAAGGCACTGACCTTGCTGGGTGAAGAAGGGACCTGTCCCAGACTCTGTCCTTTTAACCACCCCTTTTAAATTTTGGTCATGCTGTCTCATTTCATCCTCTAATTTTGGGATAGAGAATCAAGGAGCATGCACAAGCTGTCCTTAAGGGAGGATGTAACCCCCAGGCACCAGCCACCTTCTGCTCTGGGATTTGCCCTTGCTGCTAAGGGGACTCCTTGGCCAGCTGATTATTAGCTGCAGACATACAGGAAAATGATCCCAAGTTCAGGGAGGATTTGTGCTATTTCACAACTTTTTATTTCCAACTTCTTTTTAATAAGAAATATTTTTAAAGCCATTTTAGAAGAGGAATACAATTAGTAATGGGAGAATAATTCATTTATATCTCAGTCAATCTTATTCTGGATTTTTATTCCAGGAGAGAGCAGATCCTGGGTTTGGCTCTGTTATCCACACTTCTCTGCTGTCCTTTATGCGTCCTTTTGACACCCAAAAACAGTTAGGGAAGCAAGCTGTCTCCATTGGCTTTGTACCCTGATTGTGCCCCAGCTGAAGAATGGGTGGCAGGAGATTCCTCTACTTCTGAACTGTGGGATTAGGATGGCATGGTTCCCTGTAGTCATCCTCACCTCATGAATGAAGTGATACCAGAGAGTTTTGACATGTGGATTTTACCAACCATCTTCCTGGATGCCTTTGGTGGATTCTGGGTTGGTTGATTCCAACAACATTTATTAGACTGATCTGACCACATATTAACTACGTAACTGTGGCAGAGGTGGTGGTGTTTATGAAGCCAAATGAGGGTTTTTTGGTTTCTCCCACAAAAAATAAGCCCTGTTTGGAAGGGCTTTATGCTGTCATCTGGCAATAGAAATATACATCGGTATCTGAGCAATATGCCCTCTGTGCCCTTCTACTCTCCTGCTCTTTCCCAGATTCCTTGTAGCTGAAAGGTGCTTCTGTACACAGAAATTACCATGCTTATTCCTGACATGATATGGAAGAAAATGACACTCAAAAAACTGGTTTTCTAGTGGAGGAGGAGGGAGGTTTGTAATCGTTCCTCAGTCTCACTGAGGAGGGAAAAAAAAACATTATGAAGTGCAGCTCCCACTGTCTCGTCTCAGCTGGTAACCCGATGCAATGCTGCTTGCAGAGGCTCATTGATCGTCCCTGGCTTTAACTTTCTTGGTCAAAGTCTTCTGAATCACTAGAGAGGCTCAGGTGACCTAAGCCGCCTATAGATGCTGCAATAAGACCTTTTTTGAAGGGTCTTTTTCTTGCTTGACTATGACTGACTTTCAGGGTGAGATTGTTTCTTTTGCCCCTTCACCTCCTTTCTTTTCCTTGCCAGTCTTTCCCTC